AAATTCTTAGAATTTTCTGCCTGGAGGTGTCTAAAGAGTTTTATGGAAAAAAAAAAAAACTACATAATCCACTGCATCTGCCTTTATCCCTTTGGCTGCCATGAAGCCAAGGGATACAGTTAAAGTAACACTGACCTTCAGTAATCACTTTATGCCAAATTCTTGGCACGATTACAATAGTCCTTTGTTTTAGAAGGCTTCTGATGCATCTATTTAATGAACCTTTTGTACGTGTGACTATCATGAAACACACTTAAAATCCTTTCTTGAAAGCAGATAAGGTATTAATTATAAAATTAAATTATCACTGCCAAGTAAACATCAGGGATCATTTGCTAAATACAATGCTTTAGTAGAGGTGATTCTTTTAGAAATTATAGCCTAACATCATAGAAGGTCTGAAAAATAATTTTTACAAAAGCACCAGCTCACCGCCTTACACAATCACTAGTAACATTTTTGTGTTATTGTATCATCTGATGATAGTCACCCAGCAGTTCAACCACTCCCCAAAGCCAAATTGAGGACTAAAATTTACCCTCAAGCACAGAAAGGTGTTATGACCAGGCATGTATCTAATAACTTGAAAATTTTCTTTATTAAACTATATCCCAAATAAAGTGGTGCAGGGGCCCCTTGGTGGCTCGGTTGGTTGAGCATACAACTCTTGGTTTCAGCTCAGGTTATGGTCTCATGGGTTGTGAGACTGAGCCCCGCATCAGGGCTCCACACTCTGAGGGGAGTCGGCTTGAAGAATTCTCTCCCTCTGCCCCTCTGCCCACTTGCACACTCTTGTGCAGCCGCTCTCAAATAAATAAATAAATCAAAATAAAGGGGTGCGAGTAAACTAGGACACTGCCTTATTTTACTGTACATAACTGATCTCACTAATTAAGATCAATCCTTCCCTCCAGTAGTATTACAGTGTACAGACTTTCATAAAGCCTAAAAAGCCTGCAAACTACACTCAGATTATACAGCTCGGTCAAGAAACAGTTCAAGAAATCTTAATATTTGTCTTATGGTCTCCTCTAAGTCAAAGATGATAAATTAGGCAGTGACTGATGGTAGAACAGCTGTGCCTAAAACCTGTTTGCTCTTAATGTAATCTATCAGGTGGAAAAACCTGGTTTAGCAATTTAAAGGGTAACACTCCATGTTCTCTCCTTCTAGCTAATGGTGTGTTCTCCAACTGGCTTTGCGCCAATCATTCTCCCAATCTTCTAGTGAGGGCAGACAGGCCATGTCCTCCAATGAGAAAACTAGCTTCTCCATTACCTTTCCTTTAGCATCAGGCATAAGGGCATCCATAAGGCTACACAAAAGGAAATAAAGCGAAATCTAAAAGGCAGGTAGCATTCTTAAAAAAATCTCAAGAATTTAGACGGAGACATTGGCATGTGCAAAATGCAAGGGATTAACTAACCGGGGGATATGGTTCTTAGGGAAATCCTGGCAACCAAAGTTAGTCTTCCCCCTCTCAGCCTATCCAGAGTAATGAAATAAACCAAAGGTACTTACCGCTATTGAAGAGAATAAGAAAAAATAAAAACTTTTGAATATACTAAAGTTTTAAAAGCCAGATGAAATACTGTATCAGCAAAAATTTAAACAGTAATACCTAGAGTTGGGCAAATTACTTAACTTCTGAATCTTAGTTCCTTCATCCATAAAATGGGGATGGTAACTTCTCAGTAGTGTTGAGGGGATTAAAAATGGATAAAGTACTTAACATAGGAACTAGCACATCTTAAGCACTCACTATACATTAATCACTATTAGTACTGTTATTGCTGATGAGAACAGAAATTGGGTCAACTCTTTTAGAGAGTAATTTGCCAACATGTTACCAAATACCTGAACGATGGTGTATACCCCTTAACCTAGTAATTCCCCATCTAGGGATTTGTCCTAAGGAAATCATCAGAAATGGTCAAAGATTTATGTTCAAAGGTTTTCATATAAAAGCATTAGTCAAAAATGGGAAATATCTAATAGCAGGGACTTGGTTATCTAAAATTATAGTAAAACGATAAGACAAGACTCTACAGCTATTTAAAACCATGTAGACTAAAATATTAGGGGAGAAATTATTCAAAAAATATTGCTAAGTGATGAAAGCTATAAATACCTCACATTTTTAAAAAGATTTTATTTATTTATTTATTTATTTGAGAGAGAGAGAGAGAGAGAGAGAGAGAGAGAGAAAGAGAAAGAGTAAGGGAGAGGGACAGAATCTGAAGCAGACTCCTCACTAAGCACAGAGCCCGATGTAGGGCTCGATCACACAACTGTGAGATCATGACCTGAGCCAAAAAACAAGAGTAGGGTGCTTAACTGACTGAGCCACTCAGGCGCCCCAAACATCTTACATTTTTGAAAAAGCACTGAAACACACTAAAATATCTAGAAGGTCATAAATTAAAACGTGAACAGTCGACCGTGGGTGGTAAGACTATTTGGGGTGTCTTTTTTCTCCTTGTCCTCTTCTGTATTTTCCACATTTTCTGCAATATCATCACCACCACTTCTTACCAACATTCACTGTGCATTTATCGTGTGGGACAGTGCTTTCCTTTACTCCTATCTCATTTCATCTTCACAGTAATTCCATGGGTAGATATTACTTTACAGATGAGATTACTGGGGCAAAGAAAAGCAAAGACTTCACATGCAGGTTCTCTGATTCCAGAGCATGAACTTCTAATCTCTTATGTATCTGTGTGTGTGATACACCCACCTACCTGTATATATGTATGTTTCCTAAATAACTGGACATCAATGGATGATCTTGACTCGAGAAGAAAAGCCACTCTGCTCAAGAGAGCACCAACCCCTGAGCTTCTGCCAAATTGTACAGATAGCAAACTGTCTCATTTGAGGCTGGGCTCTGCAGTTCTCCCTCTGATGACCCAGAGTACCCACTGAGCTGCTCAGTCCATGTCCTTAAGAGCCCAGGAGTCACACAGGGCAGCAGTTAACATTTCTACAGTGCAGAAGAGCCAAAGGTGGGGGGGGGCAGCGCAGAGAGGGGGAAGCTCCACAGGTAACATATTCCATTATGTTCAATGAAGATTTCAGACCATCTACGGCACCAAAAGGCTAATGATTAAGCCTGAAACAGGGAAACCAAACCAGTCGGCAATTTTCCATGTTGGGCTTAATCTTAACCAGGGTTTCCAAGCATGCTATTGTCCAGCTGTTTAAAAATGAAACCAGACTGATCTCTGAAGTAGATTGGGATTGCTGATGAATTCAGATCAGTCAGAACACTAAATTGTTCTCACCCTCCCTGTCTCCCAATATAGCTTCAGGTTCTAGGGTATTGCTTTAGGCAGAGGGTGAAGGGTTAACACAAAGAAAAGTAAGGTCTTTGTATTTTTCCTAGAAGCCTAGGAAAAGGATTTAATAACCACAGTTCTCTAAGGGGGGGGCGGAAAAACCCCTCTAAAAGAAAATCATTCTTGGCCCCTGCCTATACTGCCACTGGCCAAGTCTGATCCTGTACTGTCCTATTATGGTGTCATAATGCTGTGGTCACAGCCAAAGACAGCAGCTTGGCCAGCCTCTTCTGACTAAGCTATTGCCTGGTTACAGACAGTGTCAGCATTTGCACTATCATCTGCATCACAACCAGCGGCACCGTAAGCAAGTACCCAGAAGGAAGCTGTCCACTACACATGAATGCTTTTATCAGCAGGTCTAGGAAGGATAGGGGAGTTGCACTTCTGTAGAAAGTTTAAGGAAAGAAAAAAAGGAAAGGCATCTAGGAAAAAATGTTGAAAGTAACCTTATCTAACTTAACTGATCCACTAGGCTTGGTGTAAACTTTCCCCTTAACAGATGACTGCATCTGTGAGATTGTGGGCACCGGCCTGATTTGATCGACAGGGCGAAGAAACACCAAGTATGAATATCAGAACCGTTAGATTCTACATTCAGGTGGAAGGATCAGGTAAGTTTATCTCTAAGATGGCCCCCAAAGTGCAGGAGGAAGTTGGAAGTGGGGGGAGGGAGCAAGATTAGCAAGGCAATGAAAAAAATTCGAGCTGCAATGCACTATGCAATTCCGGTCTTCCACTCATCTTTCCTCCATTCTCTTAACACTCGGGGATAATAAAACTGTTTCCTAAATTCCCCACGCGGGCTAAGAAAAGTGGACAAGTTCAGGATAGACTCTGCTAACTGAAAAATAGGTTTCTGTATCATCTGGACCAGTAGCTGCACTGGGGAAGGTCAAGGATTCCAGAACGAAGGTTCCCTAAAATTTTCTGGATGGCTCAAGCTGAGACGCCGGCAATCAGGATGCAGAGTTGATGCATCACTTTATCTGAGCAGCTAGATTTAACTTCAGTACGGCTCCACTTCTAAAGACGTGATGCTGAAGATGTGAAAAGCCAACGCCTGCCAACCCAACGGAAGTCCTTAGTAATAATTTTGGCGCCCTCAGTACATAATGTCAGTTTCCCTCACTACAAAAACCCGACCGACACCATTTCGAATTGAAAAGCTGCTTCTTAAGACTCTAAGAGAACCACCGGGAGGACTCAGTACGCCGCAGTAAGGTTCTCCCAAGCAAGCTGGTCCAAGAGTTAAAGTGAACCCAGTCCTGTCTGGATGGCTCCACAGCGAAGCGACAAAGCCACGTGTCCCCCTGGCTGAGGCTAAGCGTCTTTCCCTTTCCGTCGCTCTAGGCAGCCGCTATCCCCGTCTTGGGTCCTCCAGCCCTTGCCTTCAAACCCAGCAGCTTCGCCTCCTGCTCCATCTTGACTCCACCCCACGGCACGGTGAGAATGAACGTGACCCTCCCGCGAGAGGTAACATAACGGAAACAACCCGCGGGGCACGCTCGCCACAGAGCTGCCCCTTCCCCCGCCCCCCCCAACCCGGGTCGCACACAACTCACGCGGCGGCCCCATCCCCCTACCCTCTGTCGCCCCAGCGTCGCCCCCCGCCGCCCTGGCAGGTGAGGCTGGTCGGGGTCCCAACTTCGCCCTTACCAGGTCTCTTGATTGCTGAATTTCTTAGTCACCACCTTGCCTAGCTCCAGGCCCAGGCGGTCAGCAATTTTCTGGGATAAGTCCTGGTGGGAGCTGCCGCTGAAGATTTTAATATTCGGCATCTTGCCTCACTACCCTAGGCACTCTCCGCTCAGCGATCACTGCGGCTGCCGAGACGGGACCCGAAGTCGGCCAAGAGATTCGGTGCTGACCGCTTCGCGTTGCTACTCCGCCATCTTGCATTCCCGCCCGGCGTGCGGCTCTAAATTGCCCCGCGCCGGGGAGGCGGGGTCAGCAGGCTGGTCCACACCCCGCCGCCGCGATTAGCTGAGCGGGAGCGAGGGGCGGGTTTCTCGCCGCGGCTCGGCCTGCCCCCGCCTGTCTCAGGTATTGGCTGGAGGCCATGAAAAGGGCGAGGCTAAGGCGCGGCGCCGCCCTCTGAAGCTAGGAGGTCGGGGCGAGCCGGCTCCTGAGCGCCCAAGCGGAGCGCGCTCGACTGGGGGGGGGGGGGGGGGGGGGGGGAGGGATGTTGGTGGCGCGTCGTGCCAGCTCTTTCCCGCAAGCGGGAGATCAGACACGCTTTCCCCCCCCCCTTGAGCACCAGAAAGTAAGTCTGGCTCTGGTTTGCCGTTCCTTTTAAGAAAATCTGTTTAGCGGCATGGCAGCCAGTTTGTCAGAATGAAAGGGAGATTTCTGAACGGGAGTTTGCTTCTTTCTGAACGTGATTTTTACCTCTTTATAAGGGCAGGGCTGATTTAAAGCACGGTGACATCACCGAGAGACACCCGTGGTACGGGTGCGTCCAGAGGGCGTGTTTGCCCTTTGCCACTGTGCAGCGTTGCCTTCGCCTGGAAGACGAGTCGCAAGGGGCAAAGGACTGAGCGCCCGCCACCTCCATCATCCAGAGCCTCGGCAAGAGAAAGTTGTGTTTTGTTTTGGACGATGGGACCAAGCGTGTTCAAACAAGTGAAGGAGTGTGGATTTCCAAAATAACCTGGCAATAAAGGTCTAATTTATCTACCCCTTGGAAAGGAGAGAAAATATAGTATATGTATGGGACTCCAGATTGAGAGCCCCAAAGGAATCAGGAAACCTAGTTTTTGGTCTTTCTGCCTCATGTGAGCCTCAGCGTCATGTCAACATGTTGCTCATGAGGCCTTTTACACCATGTTTTATTATTTTTATAATGATACATGGGCTAATGGGACCAAAGAGAGCCTTCATCCCTACACCACATTTTCATTCAGCATATTCCAAGCACAGGTTAGAAGAGAAAAATCATACAATTTTAGAATCATACAATTTTAGTTATGAGCACCATAACTACAAGCTGTAAAAATAGAGGGGACTTCAGAAATCATCTAGTCTCCTAGCTTCATCTTACATATGGTGAAACTAGGACCCAGAGATAGGAGGGGATTTGTCCAAGTGGCAAAGGCAGAAAATACTCAAACCAGCATCCTGTGTTTCTCTCATTGCCATGTTCAGCAGTGTCCATGGAGGACCTCTCCTGACCCTTTGTCATACTTTTACGAGTTCAGAAATTTAATGTAGGCCCAGGTGTCTAGGGGTACTTGGGGAAGGAAGCAAATAGCAAGGCAGAATATTAAGGTAGAATATCCATCCTCGTTCATTCATCAAATATTTATTGAGTGCTTTGTTGCATACAAAGAGGTGTGGGGGCGCCTGGGTGGCTCAGTCAGTTAAGGGTCCGACTCTTGGTTGTGGCTCAGGTCATGATCTCAGGGGCCCTGGGATCCAGGCCCCGGTTGGACTCTGTGTTAAGCAGGGAGTCTGCTTAAAGATTCTCTCCCTCTGCCCCTCCCCCCCACTCTCTCTCGATCCTTCTTTGTCTCTCTAAAATAAATAGATAAACCTTAAAAAGCAGTGTTCTAGGCATTGAGGGGATTAGAAAGTATTTGCACCCAAGGAATTCGTTCATTCAAAAAATATTTATTGAATACTTTTAATGTACCCGGCCCTGTTCTGGGCACTGAGAATATGATAGTAATCAGTCAAAAACCCCTGCTCTCATGGAGGTTATGGTTTCAAACAAGAAATGTGTAAATAAAGACAATATATAATAGGTCAAATGATGGTAAGCGCTGTAGAGGAAAATGAAGCAAGGAAGTGGGATAATGTGCCAGGATGGTAGTAGGGGAGAGGGAGTTTTAAGTGGGGTAGTCAGAGGAAGCTGATCTGGGAAGGTAACAGTTGAACAAAGACCTGAAGGAGATAAAGGAAGGAGCCATGTTGATATCTGGGACAAGCAGAGGGAACAGCAGGTACAAAGACCCCAAGGCAGGAGAGTGTCTAACTTGTTTGCAGAATAGTACAATGGACGGTGTGTCTGGTGCGGAGTGAGTGTTGGGGTGGTGGGGGTAGAGCACACCTGTAAGAGAAAATAAGGAAAATAAAGTCAGTGAGGTAAGGGCAATTGGTGGGAGGCTGCTGATCAAGGACCTTGCAGGACCTCGTAGGCCTTTTAAGGATTTCTGCTTTTACCCAGTAAAGTATTTTTGTTGTTGTTGTTATTGTCGTTATTGTTTTAAGCAAAGCATGACGTGGTCTGACCTCCCCTTTAAAAGGATCATCTCAGGGGTGCCTGGGTCGGTTAAGCGTCTGCGCCTTCGGCTCAGGTCATGATCCCAGGGTCCTGGGATCGAGCCCCACATCAGGCTCCTTCCTCCCTGGGGAGTCTGCTTCTCCCTCTCCCTCTGCCCCCCCACTCGTGCTCTCCCTCACTCTATCTCAAATAAATAAATAAAAAATCTTAAAAAAAAAAGGATCATCTCAGCTGCGAATAGAATGTAGGGGTCACAACAGGAAGCGGGGAGACCAGTAAGGGGTTGGCTTCTTAGTGGAGAAAATGAGACACTCATAAGCCACAGAACAATTTAATACACTATCACGGAGAAGCCTCTGCTGTGGCCAAGCCCCTAAAACGCAGCAGCTCAAGCAAGACAGATGATTTTTCTCTGACATCACATGCCGGCCATTCGAGGCCAGTGGGACAGTTATGCTCCATGCAAGGTCATGAGCGCATCCACAATTCTAGCTCATGGGAAGGAAGAAAGAGGTCCAGGGAAGGGCTCTCCTTTGAAGCAAGTCAGGTGGAATTTGTCCATTTCACTTTCTGTCATATCCCTTTGGCAAGAGCTCTGTCACATGGCAACAGCTTAGTTGCAAGTCACACCTAGCTGCAAGCAAGACTAGGAAACACCTTGGGAGGTGGCCCTGTGCCCAGGCAGGAGAAGAAAATGGATTTTGGAGGTACAACTAGACATTGGCCACAAGATCCAAGCAAAGTGATACGCAGACTCAGTGGGAAAAGGTATCACCTCTGTGCGGCACATCCTGGGAGGTGGTTTTGGAGGTCGAAGTACATTTTGTACTGTTTTGACGGGCAATGATTGGGAGGGGGTGGGTCTCCCCAGGCTTGAGACAAAGGTGAGGAAGTAGAGACGGGTTTTAAGGAAAGGGAAGTAGTCTACTTTGGCTGGAGTATCAGGTACCATGTTGAGACTTTATTCTGCAAGTGATGGGAAGCCATCCTTCTGGAGTAAGGGAATGACATGATCATAATTGTGTTTTGGGCAAATTTATCTGTAGAGGATGGATAATAGGGAAAAGATTGGAGGCAGGTGAACCAGGTTGGGAGGGTAAGTTAGTCATGTCCTTAACTGGGTCACTAGTTATAGTGTTAAATCTAACAAGGGGTTCGGGAGGAATGCGATTTGTGAATCTCAACCTTTTGGAGGTCACAGACCCCTTAGAGAATTTTATGAACACTGTGGATCATCTCTCCAGATAAATGATCATGGAACCCTGGACTCGTCAGATTAAAGGGGCCACTGGGAGAATTTTGTAAACACCCTTGTCATTGGGAGGGCTCCCTTCCTTTCAAGAGATTTTCTCATTCTAATGAAGGATAGTGGGAAGACAGGCAGGGACAAGGGGCTCCTGCCCTAAGAAGAAACCACCCTTAAAAGTATTTTACACCCCCCTGGAAGGAGCCCTCCACCCTCTCCCACGTGATAGGTAGACGACAAAAACGTGATTGTATGACAGGTACATGGAGGGTCAATCCGATTAAAACAGCCCGCCAACAAGCCCATAAAACCCCCCCTAGACTCAGAAACTCCAGTGGCAACCCTCTCGGGTCCCCTCCCTCTTCCAGAACTTTGTACTATCGCTCAGTAAACTTTGCTGCCCACCACCCTTCATCTGGTCTACCTCTTCATTCTTCGAAGTGGTGTGACCAAGAACCACGGGCACCCAGGGAGGGAAGAGAAATCCTGCAACAATTTCTGTCTCCTGTGTTCTGATTTTTTTCCCTCTGGAGGCTAGGGTGACCTGTCCTCATTGTTCATACTGTTCAGTGATGGCAGGTGGGCGTCTTGCGTGTAAGCACAACAGAGGGCTTTCAGAGGCTGCCACAAAGCACATCACATCTAGAGAGAATTCCCCATGAGCTGCCGCCCCACTGAGCTCACCAGCTGTCAGCAGTGCCCTTCCATTGGGCACTGAACTCCTGGACTCATGTCTTCAGCAAGTATGCAAACTCTTTGAGGGCAGAGACCACGTATCTCCCACAGCCCCTAGCACAGACTCCTGGAGTGGGTGCATTTTAAACACTTAAAGATTTGAAATCAAGATCTGGATTGACACTGAAGATAAATGAGGAGGTGAGTATTTGTGGCTTTTCAAAAATTTTCAATGTAGGAGTCCTTTGAAAGAGCAAAGGACATATACGTCAATCATGGTTTTTCTTAACGAGAATCTGTCTTAAAACTAGTCCCGTTCCGGGGGCGCCTGGGTGGCTCAGTCGTTGGGCATCTGCCTTCGGCTCAGGTCATGATCCCGGGGTCCTGGGATCGAGCCCCGCATCGGGCTCCCTGCTCTGCGGGAAGCCTGCTTCTCCCTCTTCCACTCCCCCTGCTTGTGTTCCTTCTCTCGCTGTGTCTCTCTGTCAAATAAATAAATAAAATCTTAAAAAAAAAAAAAAAAAAACACAACTAGTCCCGTTCCGGAAGCTTTATCTCACAAAGCCAAGTTTGCTGTTTTACCTTAAGTAGGATCTGGCCGGACCCTTTAGATGCATTCTCTCCTAGGGTTCTCATAATTTGGTTTCCTGGGCATGTAGGCTTGATTGTACAAGGTCAGTATCCCAAAAAGCTAGAATCATCTAGAAATTTAAGAGATGGGAGACTTGAGCACCCCCTGGGCAGAATAGCAC